GGTGCGATTGCTGATTGTACCGAGTCTCACCGCCCGCCCGAGAAATATAAATAACTGGCCTCCTCCCCCCAACTTTGTAAACTTTTCTCTTCTTTTCTTCTTTAGCTCTCTTTGCCTTTTGGCTTAGATCAAGTGTAGTATCTGTTCTTTTCAGTTTAATCTCTGAAAGAGTCCTACTTGGACTCAATCGTGATTATTCTAATTTTTGTCCCGAGGGAGCGCATCCTCTGTGCTTGCGCATGACTGCTCCCACCGTGTCCCTGGTATTACACTGCCTCCAGGTGACGCGAACATTTTTCATTGCAGTTCCTTAGCTTGCCTAGGGATGTGAGGAAGAATGATGTCTGTATGGTAATATCTATTGAATGCCTCATCCATCTAATGTAACTAAATCGCAGTTTAATGTTCCACTCCTTACATGCAGTGGTCGGTCGCGTTTATAAGCAGCTATTGCGTCATTTTCACTAGGAATCAGTTAAATGGAAGAAGTGAGGCAAAATTACTGTAGCTTAAATAATATTTTGATACCTACCTACTATCGAAGTCATACAGCGACTACTATTTCATTGCTAATCTTGTCGAGCCTCCTTCGCGAATACCCAGGGGCCCAATAGCGACCGTATTCCCGACCCCTACAACCCATATGGTATCAATATATTAGCTAGAACATCGAACTTGAGATATAGCCGGCCTATTTAGTTCATCTGAACAATCGTGGTTATGGATATGGTTGGCGAGGCCTACAAGCCGCTTGAAATTTAAAGAGAGGATATGCCTACGACTTGGTGTTCCCATAGGTTAAGGCGTGTTGGAAACACCACAGCTTTCATGAGTAGCATAATCAGATAGATCCAAAATCGTTGGGGCGGGCGACTTCATGAATCAATCCATATAACACAGAGCTGAACCCGTATCATGGGAGGTAATAGAGATAAGATACCTCTCGTGTGCCCAACATCTATCTATTTCTCCTGATGATTATGTACTCAAACCAGTAAAATAGCCTCCATGGCGTTTCCCTCGTTCCTATTTGAGGTGGATTTCTTCCCCGAGCTCCCCCGAGTCGAGGACGGTAGGCAAGAGAATGCACCAAACCCGTCACTTAAATATAATCAACGTCCATGCAGTATATATACAGTTACACCGTCATATCTATCTACGTTCTCTGTCTAGCTACCCTTAACCAATATAAAGACCGAATGAATTTCACTAATTGCCAGCTATACTAACAGAATATGAGTACGCCTTTACCTCAATATTTATCCAGTCAAGATGGCCGATATCCAAGTCATCTCAGTTCGATTAGAAGCTGAATGCAAGCGGGTGATTAGGTAGGTACTCAAAAACGTACGGCGATTAACTTCGAAGACCTCAAGAGTTCCATGTAAATTTCTATGCAAGAACAAAATCCCCTGACTGGCCGACGCAATAGATAAAGTCCAGAGGAAGCCAATAGCCTCAAGTGGAAAAAGAAAATTGGAAAGAAAAAAAGAATTATCCCTATTTTCAATAAATAAACCGCATAATATATTCGAGGATAACCATCCGTTCCATGTGGAAATTCTATAGCGGGATATTTACCTGAACCACTTTTTACAGAACGGAGCATTATAATACGTTGCCAAAAACTTATACCTATGTAAAGGCTACAACAGTATCGATTGTTAATAGATCTACAGCTACGGATTCGCATAATACAAGTTTACTCATACACTCCAACCACTCTCACACTTTCGACCCCTATGCTGATTAACCTCTAAACTCAGCTAACCCGTCATCCTCCTCTAATAACGTTCTAAAAGAAAACGGAGTGAACATGTAGCCTGCGAACTCGGCGTATTTCGATTGTGCTTCAACCCATTGCAGACGGAGAGAGTGCAACTAAAGAATAAAGTTAGTTAACGTTCGATTTGTACTATGTAAAAAGCAGCCAGGGGGAGAAACTTACCATAGCGCTGCAGCCTTCCATACAAATGAGAATGGCACAAGAAAGGAAAAACCATAAATAGAAAGCAACAACGATCATAAAAACACCAAGGACACCCGTCATGGCGAGTGATGGGCCGAGGGTCATGTCCCAAAGCACGACACTTAGCTGCTGGTGAGCGAGTGACAACGCCCAAAGACGTAAGTAAGAAGCTGTGTGAGAGACACAATTCAGGCAGAATTCTATACGCATAAGTTAGTAAGTGCTTGCGACATCGATTATGGTAATTACAACTTACCAATTGTGTGGATGACCTGATGGATCATGATCTCACTGAAATCAAACTCTTCATGGCCCTCCTCGTCGTCACCGGACGCGATCATAGCGGTGCCCTCACCATCATCGGTGTCCACACTGAGGCGGCCGTTGCCATTGCCATTGCTTTGTAAGTGCCCATCGCTTTCATCCTCATCAAGCGCCGAGACTCTAGATGGTTCGCCTATGTTATGATAACCCTGGGCACGAGCGCGATTGTGCTCCCATCGCAAGTATAGGGGCTTTAGGAGTAATAGGATGGGAACCTGGATAAAGGCAAGGAGTAGCAGCGTAACTTGTACGCCCTTTTGTCCTGGATACAGTTGAATATCCAATGAGCCGGGCTGCAGGAACATGTAAATCAACATGTTCAGAAGTCCGGGAGGCTGTTCTCCGATCGCGAGCCAATCCACAGACCACTTGTAAACAATGCAAATAACGAGGTAACCGAAGATAGCTTGGAAGAAGATCATCCCGGGTAAGAAGTTACCCCAGATGTCAATTGGCTTCTTAAAGTATCTCGCATTGCAGTAGGATAGGCAGAGGGAGTATGTCATGTGTGCCCACCCAAGAATGATAGACATCTTCATCTTGTAACTGTTGCTAAACAACAAGTCATTTTCGGCACCGTGCCAAAACCAGTCGATACCGAACGGATATCGGTAATCGCCCTTGAGCTTAGCCACAAGAGGTTGGCCCTCTTGCCATCCTTCAGGAACGTCCCATTCCCAGGCACTGTCGAAGAAAGTGAAAGTCTTGGAAAACACATCGTTGTAGATGAGACCCGTGAATAAGGAGAACACAGCCATGACCAAGGCAATGTATCGACCATAGTAAATCATAGCGAAGAGTTCGAATGTGACTTTCTTCAGGGGCTTCTCCCAATATATCATAGCCAAGGCAGCAGATAACATGATAGTGGCGTGGCCGAAATCTCCAAACATGACGGCAAACAGGAAAGGGAAGGTAACGATAGCAGGTAGAGCAGGGTTGACCTCTTTGTAGGTCGCCGTACCGTATGCGTTGATGATAGTCTGGAATGCTTCTGTAAATTTATTTGTCTTTAAATAGGTCGGAGGAGTCTTGTTTGTCTTGATCTCATTGATAATGGACGGAACAGACAGGCCTGCTCGGTTGGTCACATCTTGAAGCGTAGTGCGAATGAGAGGTAAGTCATTCGTAGGACACCAGCCTTCCGCAATGAGAGTCCGTCTCTGCCCATCGAATGAGAAGAGATTGAGCGTTTGGTAGGTAGCCTTCTCCTTGGTGATCAGAATCATCCAAGCTGCAAGAGACTGAGCAATTTGGGTAAGCTCGGCTTCGAGAGTCTGCTGCGTATTGTGCAATACGTTTCGAACATCGTTAAGACGGGCATTAACCTCATGCATCTGGTCGCGACGAAGGTCTGCGTTTTCATCGACGCTATAGATATCAGCGCCCATGGATTCCGAAATTTTGCGGATCTTGGCTAGAATTTCCTTGCCATGAGCAAAGATAACGAAGACATTCTTGTTAATAGACTCGTTATTGCTCGGATCAACAAGGGGTTCGGGAATTTCGGATTGGTTCATATATAAGTTGCCGCGAAGCGTTCTCCAGAGAATGCGCTCGAAAGCAGCTACCCGGTCGCGATTTATAACACCGGCGACGAAGCCAATATTCATCCCAGAAAAGGAACGTTCAACGTCGCCACCCTGGTTGTGCTGCTCTACGTCTTGGAGTAAAGGAGCATCGTCATCCTCAGTCGAAGTTCGAATCTCCTCGACGTTTCCGTGAGCTCGGTCAAAAAAACCGCCGGCCTCGCGAAGAACCCATCGCCATTCGGTCAGCTCGACCTCGCGCTTCTTCAGTGTTTCGTAGCTGTCGTTCAGTTGGGAGATGCGCTGCTCTAAGCTTTGAGTCCGCTCGGAAAGTTCGTCGATCTCGGAAGTAGTGGGAGGAGCGAGCGTTTCGACATCAAGATCTAACTTTCGTAGAGGAATGTTCGCCTTTTCCATTTGAGAATGGAAGTAACCTGGGGGGTTGTTAGACAGGATAACGCGACTCGCGGCTCGCGACGATCGGGGCTTTTCAAGGCTTACGAAGCTGGCGCTCGACATTGTCAAGTCTTCTAATCTCTTGAGTAAAAGTTCGCTGGAATGCACTGATATCACTGTTGAGCTAGATGGCTATTAGTATTGTTCGATGCGTTCGATGCGTTCGATGCGTGCAAATTGGCACCGGGATTGGTAGGGGATAGCAGCATACATCTCGAAATTGGACCAGTCCAAGTTCTCCCAACGCGTTAACACATTCTCGGCTAATTTCATTGGATATATATAGCTGCACCATGCTCATGTCCGCAGAGCGGAACATGGACTGCTGTGAAGGAGCCATAGTGATGGACTGCGCTCCAAAGTCAGGCTGATGGCTCTTGATGGTGACGACGGAATGCGAACTGCAAGAAGGTAAGCTTTGATTAAACGTCGTAGCCTTTACGTACAGGGGCCGCGATTCTAATTTAGGAGACCGGCTGGGTTGTGGCTTGAAGTCACGAGGCGTACTTGTGGCGCATGTATTCTTTCGCTAGAACTTTGGAACTTGGGGCATATGACGTAGAAGGTATTTTATTCAATAATATCCTCAACTCTGTTAAGAATAACAGGTAGGTACCTCCTAAGTATTTCTATATTAGGTAAGGATTTAAGTTAGAGGGGAAAGGAAGTATCTTGAGATTTTTAATATTATTTTCAAGGTTTACCTATATATTTATTTTTGAAGTTACAGGTACCGTCTTATAAGATCGGATAGTGGGATTAAGTATTGTACCTAAATACCTAACCTACCCACCGTGTTGCTAGTACCATGTATTTTACTCTAATTAGGTAGCTTATTGCATATTAGTTTCTAAAGCTTTATTCACAACATCAAATCACCCCGGTATCAAATCAATTGTCGAGTTTTTTCTTGAACGCGGACAGTACCAGCCGTACCGCTACTGTCGCCAATTGAGCTCGCATGAATACAGCCGATATGCCTTAGGTATGCATTGGTTGTTATCGAGGGCTGTCCAGGCGCAGTCTTCGTGTCGCTGTCGACTCTGCCTTCACTCTGGGCGTTCGATTGCACGGCATTCCACGAACGTAGCCTCAAGGCGGAAAGTAACGGTTGCTGATATCTTCACTGCCTGTTATACGACTATACTTGGCACTGCGACTGTTATAGACACCCGGAGGAAGGAATTGAGGAAGAAGGAACTCGACGAGAAACTAGAGAAGGCCAGAGCCGCATTGGGCAGCTTGGGTGTTCAAGACTTGTCCAGCCAACATAGTGGACGGGTCGACAATCCCAATTCCGGCGATGGGTCTAGAAGAAAGGAACAAGCTGCTGCCAACAGTCTACTGCGGGAGTTAGGAGTTCTATGCGAAATTACTCGTCGTCCAGTATCACGCCCATCGTGGATGCAAACACAGTTAGAATGGGCACAAGTTGAAGCCGCCATCGTCGCGGAGGAGCAAGACCCTGAAGGTGTACTCAGAGAACCAAAATCCGCTCAGCAACTCCAAAGGACCACGAGGACAGTCGTAGAGTTGGTAAATCAACTCATACACCAAAGTCGGACTTATAAGAGCACCCGGAGCCAAGACGTAGATGCCAAGGAGCAGGAAAATAACGTAGACGATGCCGTTTACGAGGAACTGAAGGATATATTACAGACTTTCCACTATCCAAGTTATAACCAACCTAACGAGGACCCTAGTGATGCCGCGAGGACTCGGTCTCTCCTTGGGGAATCCATACGGCGTATATTTAATAATGCCACAAATTCTAAGGATATTGTAGCCAAGATATGTTATAATCTCTTAACAGCTGGTGTGCCTCCTAGTATCCACACTTATAATACGTTAATTGCAGGCTTCAACCGGATTCAACGTCCTGATCTCGCGCAGACAGTTGTCGATTCCTACATCTACAGAACAACCTGGCCTGCCACCGAGCAGACCGCCGTATGTCTGCTTAATCACTACCAGGGGATAAATCGGGAAGATGGTATACGAGATATCATCCAACGAATGAGGGGTGTTAGAGGGGATGGTCTACATTTTCGAATTATCGACAAGAAAGCTATCTATACGCGAGAGTGGTTAGCATGGGCTATAGAGAACTGCGCCTCGCGCAAGTATGCCTATGTGGAACGAATGCGGCGAACGGATGCTGTATTCACTAGTATTATAAAAGGCTGGTTATACTGTGGAGAACTCGGCAACGCTGGCGCGGCTTTTGTGACATGCGTGCGTTACGGAGGTTCGGTCACCATTCAAACGCTCCAGGAACTCTTCACAGCATGTCTATCGACAGTCGATTACACCGCAGCACGGCGATTAGTGGCGGGGTTGGCTAAGAATATAGGCAGCTTTGCGACTTGGATCGATTGTACTATTCGTCAAGAATCAGTAAACACGTCGCGTCAACTTATCACGAGCCTCTTAAATCTAGTTGACATCTGTCGGCTTCCGTTTAATTTCACGCCTGTCTCTGAATCCTACGACCAGGCATTGCAGGAGCTTAGATCTTTAATCAGCCTTACCCGATTCGAAATAGAGATAGAAGAGACGGCGGATTTATGCGTGGCCACATTCGAGGAATTAACTTCGAGTGGATCATTGGTAACCCGGATTGATAAAGTTCTTGCCATGCTCGACTCAGCTCAGCAAAGCAGGCAAAAGGCTGCAAGGTCGCTCGCTCATTTCGGCAGGCTGGCAGAACTCCTTTCTATTGAAAGGAGGTGCCGCGACTTAGAGACAAGAATCAAGGCCACGGCAGCTTTAACGACGGCTACCATTCTCAAAATCAAGACGGGATATGAGCTTGACCCATCCGGAATTCTTGTTTCGAAACAAGAATCTCCGATTTGGTACCAGCGAGAGTATTTCTTTTGGTACCAGCGGCTTCGCTACGACTCCCTCGTCAATGCCCTTCAAAATATTCAAATCAACTCGGGTCCGATGACACAAGATGATATAAGGTCACAACTCCTTCGATGCTTACCTGACCCTGTTCTGTCGAAAAGGTTAGGGGATTCTGGCCATCCAGAGAACCTGGGTATAAGAGCACTGACGAGCTTTTATGTATCAGGCATGACACATACCAACGGGCACCAAGATGTCTTTTGTAGCAAGCCTATAAGCCAGCTCGAGCAAGAACTTGCTGACATTGAAAACACGATCAGAGCTATACTATTCGCTCACCTCAGTGGTGATACTCAGAGGAAGCTTAGGTTCCAGTATCCAAACTTCTACAAAATGCCTTTCAAGAAACTTTACAAGTACCAATTGCGGAGAAGCATCTTCAAGACGATCTCTACCATAGGTGGGCAGCAGTCCGGCACTATCAAACCACACAAACAAATAAAGCTAGCAACTAGAGTCAGTGAGGGGCCCTTAGGGATACCGAGAGATATACATCGAGGCATTGAAGAAGGGTTACGCGATGCTGACACTGCTCTCCCCTTGTCCGCGTTAGGATGAGGGGTGAGGGTGAGATAGGCCCTGCGGAGCGGAGGGGGCGGGGGTTAACTGGATCATGGGGAAGCTTGGCACAGAATCAAGGGAATCTTATGCCAAACCTCTATGCCCATCCCCTTGTATATATAACAGGTATACCTGCCTGGATCTGGATAATTTAGTCGTGGGCTGATTTTATGCTCGCTCAGTTGCGGCATATTGTACCTATAAACGGTTCCAGTCCCGGTCCCGGTCCCGATACCGGATGTTAAATAAAAGCAACTAACCATTCGAGGTCTGTTTTTGTTTCGATTTCAGTACATACGTGTCTTCCTATCGTGCAGTATACGTATCTGCTATCTATCAGAACCGATTGGAACAGGTGACGTGCTTAAGTGCGTAAATAAGGTGTGTAGGTCTGAGGGATTATCATCCGAAAGATAGGTACCTAGGTAGGTGCCAACACCGAAATATGGAATGCGTGCATAAACATCTCATCGAATACCCGTAAGTGTGTATATGGCTGTCCTACATGATAAGTTGAAAAGTGGCACGGTAGCATTTACGTTGCCCGGCGGATTATTATTTGGGTTTATATTAGGTATATGCGTAGCTGTATGTGTAGGGTTGAGATTATGTAATTTATACCTCTATGGTAGATGCCTGCGTCATGATGGCAAAAAAAAAAAAAAAAAAAAAAAAAAGTATGGAGTTAGATCGATTCAAAAACACACTAGTGTCCCATACGTACCGAAGGTTTATGTATGGCGGAGCCTCTGTACCACACTACATTGGTACGTTAGGATGTAGGTATTCTCCCGTGAAGGCGCCGTTTACAAGTATTTTTAAGTATAAGCGTGAGCGATCAATGTGAGCATATACTTGATAGGTACGGTACCTGAATAGCACTAGTATAGGTAGGTATCGATCAGTCCGTGCCTATTTATGTACATATAAAACTAGTGGGTGTCCTCGTAAGTCATTCCGGTTAACCAATCAAACATCTACATCTACATCACGTCTCTCCACGGCAAGGATCTACTGGCCCCTTGAGATTCCACAAGTCTACGAGCCAACAAGAACCTTCAATTATTCAACTTCACCGCCCGGAAATGGTAGAAAAAGCGGAGTATTGATGGTTTGATGGGTTGATCTAAAGCTTACTGCGTCGCTAGAGACAGGACGAATGCACGACGAAGCTGTTTAGTTGGTCGATTGTAGATGACAGATTCAAAGGGTTTAAGGGTCCGGCTGTATTCTCTTCTTCCCCCCTACCTCTTATCACTGTACATGTATGGTTCACTTCTCACATGTCCTTCCAAGCTTCTCCCCAGACTCTACCATAAATAGGTACAGGTACTGCATTGCATACACATCAACGCCGGGACGCTTTGCGGTGTCAAAAGCTTATTAACACTGATCCTTAGGCGTTTTACCTTCCCTTCCCCTCCCTACATAAGGTCCGGTGCTTGACTTAGATCTTTGTTTCTATTGTTTGTATGTTCGCCACTCCCCCTACACGAGAGAAGTTGTCACTCTCGATTGTCAACATTGAAGCTTGGTAAACGTCAATGGCTCTGAATACCTACCTTCGACAGCAAGAGATTCAGTCGACAGGCTATTCATAATAACTACCGAGCCACGTAACATCGTTCGTCCGATTTTGAGTAACCCGAGCGACCGTTGCTATCTGAATAACTTAAAATCATATTGTATATCAGCTACTATCCTTCCTGCAGCTGTTATTCATAATCTGTCTAACAACAGAATCCTGGGTCGATGTAAGTCAGACACTTCTTTGGAGCATTGACCATAATAGGATGATGCCCAGCTAATTGATTAGATACCTTGCTTGACATCAGTCGCACCACCAAGTTAATCATAATCTTTTTGGCTACTTGGCCAGGGCCTACTTCTATTTAACTCGCTTCCCCATACCGGATTAACCCATCTTCTTCATTGTACGCCATCTACCGACTAGGAAAAGACAGGCAAGATGAAGTTCGGAAGAAAGTACGGTTCACCAACATATCTGAGAATATCCCGTAATTATACGTCCAAGAGCTAACACTTTTTTATAGTTTATCTCGTAACCAAGTCCCCGAGTGGGCATCTTCGTACATCGATTACAAAGGTCTAAAGAAGTTGATCAAGGCAGCTGCGAATGCTGCGAATGCGGGAGAGGATGTTGATCTAGCAGGTGGGCTAATTTCTCGACGCTACGTCGAAACCCGTTGCACCCCCCTAACTTGATACCCACAGAGTTTTTCTTCGCTCTGGACCGTAACCTCGAAGATGTCGATTCCTTTTACAACAAGAAGTTTGCCGAGGCCCATCGCCGTATCAAGTTACTCGAGGATAGATATGGCAGAAACCCGGAAGTCGTCGCGGAATTAGACGAACACGAGAGCGAAGAGCTTATGGGAGCTCTGCTTGAGCTTCGAAACCAGCTACGCAACCTACAATGGTTTGGCGAAATCAATCGCAGAGGTTTCGTAAAGATCACGAAGAAGCTGGATAAGAAAGTACCGAACACGACTACTCAGCAACGATACATTACGACCAAGGTCGACCCTAAACCTTTCGCTAAGGATACCACTGTTGTACGGCTGATCAACGAAATTAACAAGTGGCTCTCCGCGTTTGGAGATGCGCAGAATTTCGACGATGCCAAGTCGGATAAGTCTATGCGCTCAGTGCGTTCGCTTGGGAGAGTGACTGCAAAAGTCATGTTAAACGTCTCGCAGCCTATTCTAGACCAGCTTGATGCTGCAATTCGTAAAGATGACGTTGCAACACTACAGAGTAGCTTAGCAAGCGAGAAGTTGGTGACACCCGAACAGGCCTCGCAAGAGATGCTGCTCAACCTTCTGCAGCGTTCTATTTCCGCTCGGTCAAGAGCCTGCATCACACATCTCCTAGGGCAAATCAAGACGTTAGACGAACCGGGAGACATAAATGAGCGCAATTGTGTTCACCGTCTAGTCATCCACATTGGACGGAGTAAGTCGTCACAAGTTGGCGATCTGGAGCCCAATGCAGTCTCGCTTCCAATAAAGTCTCACTTTAATAGCCACTATGTTGCGCCATCCCAAACTAACGGTTCGGCGGCGACACGGCCGGTAAATGGAAACGGCTCTGGGACGCAGCTATTGAGCAAGGAAGATGAAACAGTACAACTCCTGTGCTATCTTCTTGACTCCCTTCAAGGAGAGCAGCGCCGCGCGTTGACAGCCAGGGACACGCTAGGCCGCATGCCTCTCCATTATGCGGCGCAATTCGGCATTGTTGTCCTCTGCCAGGTCGTCATGGCGAAGATGCAAGAGTGGGGACAATTCAATGTCGAAGATGGAATCGACGCTCCCAAGTGGCAGGATAAAGAAGGCAATGCGCCACTTCATCTTGCAGTCATCGGTGGTCACCCATTGACCACGAAGTGTCTTTTGCAGGGAGAGAACTGGCAGGGTCCGACTCATAAAGAAGGAGTTGGTAGGAAATCTGTGTCCAAATCCAGCGCCGTGTTGGCATTGGCTACGAAATCGAATTTCGTATACATTGTACGGATGCTCGTGGAGGCCGGTATAGATATCAACTGGCAAGACGAGACAGGAGAGACTGCGTTGCATATTGCTGCTAGATTTGGACATGTCGAGTGCGTTAAGATCCTGCTTGAGGGCTCGCCCGAACAAAAAGTCAACTTGGAATTACCGGAGAAATCATTCGCATGGACTCCTCTACACATATCAGCTGTAGATGGACATCTTCCCGTGGCACAGCTACTAGTAGAAGCTGGGGCAGATGTTGGGAAGATGGATTCTTTCGGATGGACCGCTAAAGAACACGCCGCTTTGCGAGGACATCTGAATATAGCGAAGCTACTCGCAGAGTATGAAGTCAGCTTACCATCTGCGAATGGGGTGGAGGATACTCAACCGCCGCCTTCGGGTTCGTCTTCACCTCCAGAAACGTCATCTCTCGAAGACCGAAGGTCAGACGGAAGCACCCGGATCACAGAGCCAATTAAATCTTTTGGTCACCGTTACCTAAAAGATAACAGTCTTGTGATGGTGAGCCTAGGCTCCATGGATATGCGAAGGGATATTGAAGCAGTCAAACTCGATCGCGTTCCTTTGACGGCAGCACACACTAATCAGCTTGACACGGCCCTATCCGTTGTGGTTTCAGCCCAGGGGGCACAGGGGGAACCAACTATCATTGATCTGCCAGTACATGACAACATATCCACTGAGCCGATCTTGTTTACCACCTCAGATGCCTCAAGCGTTAGATTACTCTTCGACATCGTGCCCACCTACTCCGGCAATGAGAAAAACAAGATTGGCCGTGCGGTAGCGTTGCTATCATCTGTCCGTCAGTCGCTTGGGACGAAACGAATGAACCTGCAGGGCGATGTATGTGTACCAATCCTGGGCGCAAATCTGGACGTTATTGGTGCTGTTAACTTTAACTTCCTCATCATTACGCCATTCTCGCATCCAAACATGGAAATCAACTCTCATCAGACGTACTGGAAGAAGTTGTCCTCCACTATGGTCTTCGGTCACCGTGGTCTTGGCAAGAATTTCCTCGAAAACAAATCGCTCCAGTTGGGCGAGAACACGGTTTCGTCATTCATCGCTGCGGCCAACTTGGGAGCTCACTATGTTGAATTCGACGTCCAGCTCACCAAAGATCACGTACCTGTCATCTATCACGATTTCTTGGTGAGCGAGACAGGCATTGATGCGCCGGTTCATACATTGACCTTGGAGCAATTTCTCCATATCAATAATGAGTCTCAGCCAAGATCTGGAAATGAATCCCCTGACAAAACGAGGGTTGATACCAATGGCAATGGTGTAAAAGAGCCTGGACCTAGGCAAAGATCTCTCTCCGTGGACCTGGCTAAAAGTGTGAAGAGCAGTCTTGATGAGCGTATGAAATACACACTCAACTTTAAAAAGAAAGGCTATAAGGCAAACACCCGAGGAAACTTCGTTCAGGCGCCGTTTGCCACACTTGAGGAGCTCTTCAAGAAAATACCTGAAAACGTCGGGTTCAATATTGAGATGAAGTACCCTATGCTACTCGAGAGCGAGAAAGAGGATATGGACACGTACGCGATTGAGCTCAATTCATTCTGCGACACTGTCTTGAATAAGGTGTACGACTTGACCAAGAATCGTCATATCATCTTCAGCAGTTTCAACCCCGACATCTGCCTCTGCCTCAGCTTTAAGCAACCGAGTATTCCGATTTTGTTTTTAACGGATGCGGGGAGTGAAGAGGTTAGCGACATCAGAGCCAGCAGTCTTCAGGAGGCTATCCGATTCGCGAGCCGCTGGAACCTGCTGGGGATTGTGAGTAACGCGGAGCCGTTCGTGAACAGTCCCCGGCTGGTCAAGGTGGTGAAGCAGACTGGGTTGATCTGCGTCAGCTATGGAGTTCAGAACAATGATCCTACTTTAGTCCAGGTAAGTCACCTTATATCAAATTTCCTATACCTCATGCGTGAACAAACGAGTTAAGAGGCTAATGATTATTTCACTATATAGCGCCAAGTTAAGGAAGGTATCGACGCGGTGATCG